ATTTTACTCTTTTCAAAAAAATTGCAGTATAACTTTATTTCTCTGGGTCCAAAGTTTTGGTCAATATCCTATTCCATTTGTTCTGCACATTTCCAGCGCTGAATATAAAGAACTGCTTAAGTGAAATATCTGTAGTAATCTCAGTTATCCCATGTAATTTCAGTTTTTTGATAGCTTCAACTTTCTCAACAATTAGACTAAAGAGTAAGCAAAAAAAGCCTTCCAGAAGCCCACATTCCTGGTTTAAAAGTTCTGCACTAAGCAATTCTTATTGGAGAAAGCCTTTTTTTGGACTACTGCTGAGTTACACAAAGCTCTAAGAAAATGTAGTTATCTAGTTTCCTGCAGAAAACCAGGGTATTCTAGCTAGAGGCTATGCACAGTGACAGACAAGGACAACAACTAACAATTAGATATGAGAGAAACTATAAAAATTAAGTACAAGAAATCTTGAGCCACTAACGTGTGAGCCCTTCCCTAAGTCACATGGCCAATAAGCGACAGATCTGGAGTTTTAACTCAACTCTCTCCAAAGACTGAGCCAACTGTCATGGGGAAATTATGAAAAGAACTCCAGGTACACAGTAAGTATTCACTGAGTAACTCTTCCTTAGAAGCTCTTCAATTGATAAATATCTGGGTGTCTATTGTGTACCAGGCACTGTTCTAAGTGATGAAGATACAGTGGCAAAGAAGGCATCACTACTTTAATTCTTTGTATAGCTTTATCAATAATCTATTATTTTCTGACTTGTCTGTCCTCACACTCTCTCTCTCTTTTTTATTTTTTTATTGATTTCAGAGAAAGAGAGGAAGGGAGAGGGAGAGATAGAAACATTAATGATGAGAGTCATGGATCGGCTGCCCTCCTGCACGCCGCTGCTGGGGATCGAGCCCGCAACCGGAATTGAACCTCTATCTCCTGAAACATAGGTCGATACTCAACCCCTGAGCCATGCTGGCCGGGCTGTTCTCACATTCTAGAATGTAACTTCCAAGAGTATGAGCCTTGCCTACCCTGTGCCCCACTACCTGGCATAGAAAAGACCTTCATGAATAGTTGTTAAATGAATTAACAAAGAGCAATTTCAAAGCCAGTCTGAGGAGTGGTTAAGGTCTTGGGCAAATTAGTTAGCTTCACTAAGCTGCAGTTTTCCAATCTAAAAATCTGAGATAATAAAAGATAATTATATAGTTCACAGGACTATTTTTAGGACTGAGAGAGTGAGTCGAATACACTATGAGCTTCCATTATTAAAAAGGATTAAATAATCAGTATACTAAAGATAGGAAGCATATGTTGTATTTAAGAGAGCTAAAAAAAACTGGTTTGAGTATTTAAAAGTTTGTGACTGAATGCAATATCTGAAACTTTCAGAAATCAATCGAATAAGAAAGCATTATTGTACTTCGTTCTTGATGTGGTAATATCTACATTTGGGTAACAACATTTAGAAAAAGCATGGGAAAACAGCGTATCACAGGAACCTCTCTCCCCTACTTAAAACTTAGTCAATATTTTTTTCATGTTACTTCAATAAAAACACTGCATTTTAATGACAGAATTCTATCATAAATAAATGGTTACCTATAACGGGGGGAAAAAAACCCAAACATGTATGTACTAAAATGCTTAACAGAATCCATTAATTTAAAAATAATATTTTACACTTAACTGGTTAGACCCTAAATACTATATTGGGTGCACAGGCTCAATATGTAAATAGTATGTCAGGTAGGTATGGTTGGTCCCCTCAGTCATTCACATTCTGTAAACATCTAGGCCCTGTACAAAGGCCACTATGCAGTGGTCCTCAGCTTAAGTAATTAGGCTTATATATGTTTAGAAACCCGAGATCACTTAGTTTAGAGTGGGTCTCAGAGCGTAGAGGATCCCACAGAGAATTACCACCAGGAACCTATCTGAGAAAAACATACACACTTATTTAATACTTCAAGCCGGAATTTACAATTCACTTTAACGTGAGTAAGGCTCTCAATTCAAAATTAAGATTCGCGGAAATCGTGGTCCATACGCTCAAGACGTCACCCTTACTTCAAAAGCAGAATAATCCGGGGCTGTCAGATAGCTCAGGTAGTTCTTAGTAGGTCGGTATCTGCGAGTTTCCTCCTCCACCAGCGCCGCAGCCTAAGAACGAGAACAGGGGCCAGTGCGGGGGCAGCGAATTGTAAGGCGCTTCTTCCAGCTCTAAGGGCCAGCGAGCCACCTACACGCCCCCCAAACTCACCGCTTCCCGCACACCGGGCGCTTCATAACCTTGGTCAAAATACGGCAGCGCATCCACCACAGCCTCTCCTGCCACCAACCCCGTGCCCGCCATTCTTAAGTTCGACGGAGTTTTCTGAGTCTGCGCAGGCTCGGACCTGCGCCCGCCGCAGACAATTTACGTCATGGGCGTGTCGCCTTTGACGCATGCTCAGTTGTTAATTCCGAAGGCGCGCTCCTCTGGCTGCTAGAAACCGCCCTGCCTTGTTGTTTTGGTCGGACGTGACGTCACGTCGTGGTTTTCCAGTCAGCGGAACGTCCCCACTTCCTGTCCCCGCCTGCACCACTTTAAAGCTTCCGACGGGCAGCGGTTTGTGGAGCCGGGCTCCTGGGTTCCTCCGGGAGGAGAAAGCTTTAAAACGGGCCGCAGGTCTGCGCGGGGAGAGGGAGAGAAGCCGGCTTCCCACCTCCGCCTACTCGTCTGACCTTCCGTCTTCTCCCCTGAAACGTCTCTCCCCTTGCGCTTCCCTGCTGTACCCCCACTGTTCATTCTCGGCGCCCTAAGAATCTACGCATTGGATAAGGGCGGTTTTTTTCACAGATTCTAGAAGTGGGTGCCAGTTACAATGGCGAAGGGTTACGGTCCGCCTACCGAAAGGAACCTGATCTACACCAGGGTGAGACCGATCACTGCTCACCAGCCCCAACTTTTAAAGATCCTGTCATTCTGCCTTCAGGGTGTTTATAAAATCCAATCATTTCGTTGTTAGGACGCCCGGTAATAAGATATACCCTGCCCCATGTGCAATCTAAACCCAGGCTTTGTCTGCCAAGAGCCTGGAAATGTTAGCCACGGTAATTAAGCCTGGTTAGTCTAGGTTCATTTTGGATTATCTTTTGCTTATTAAATTTACTGGGTCAACATTGGTTAATAAGATTATATAGGTTTCAAGTGTAGATTTCTATGACATGATGTGTATATTGCATTGTGTGCCCACCACCCAAAGTCACGCCATCTTCCCTCACCATGTATTTGGTACCTTTACAACCCCTCCATCCCCCTTCCCTCTGGTAACCACCATACTGTTTGCCTGTGTCTATAAGTTCCAGTTTTATATCCCACATGAGTGAAACCATATGGCTCGTAGCTTTTTCTGACTTATTTTGCTTAGCATAATATTCTCAAGGCCCATCCATTGTTGTCTCGAGCGGCAGTATTTCATCTTAAGGCTGAGTAGTATTCCACTGTTTATATGTATCACAGCTTCTTTATCCAAAGTGTATGAAGGAGACTTTGGTAGTTGCCATGTCTTGGCCACCGTGAATAGTGCTGCAGTTAACATAGGGGTTCATATTATCTTTGTGAATAAATGTTTTGAAAATTTTCAGGTAGATACCCAGAAGAGGGATTGCTGGGTCATATGGTAACTCTATTTTTAATTTTTCTTTTTTTAAATGCTCACCTGAGGGTATTTTTTCCATTGCTTTTCAGAGAGAGTGGAAGTTGGTGGGGAGAGATTGGTTGCCTCCTGCTCACACGCCAACCTGGGCCTGGGATTGAGCCTGCAACTGAGGTTCGTGTCCTTGGCCAGAATCAAACCCTGGACCCTTCAGTCCACAGGCCGACATTCGCCACGCCAAACCGGCTGGGCTCTATTTTAAATTTTTTGAGGAACTGCCATACTGTTTTCCATAGTGGCTGTAACAGTTTACATTCCCACGGGCAGTGAATGAGAGTGCCTTTTTCTCCACAGCCTCTCCAATATTGACTTGTCTTATTGATCACAGGCGTTCTAACAGGTGTGAGATGGTCTCTCATTGTGGTTTTGATTTGTATTTCCCTAACAGCTAGTGAAGTTGAGCATCTTTTTATATATCTGTTGGCCATTTGTATGTCTTCTCGGGAGAAGTGTCTCAGGTCCTCTGCCCATTTTTTAATTGGATTGTTTAGTGTTGAGTTGTATTTCTTTATACATTTTGGATATTAACTCCTTGTTAGAGCTGTTGTTTGCAAATATCATCTCCCATTCAGTTGGTTGCCTTTTTGGTTTGTTGGCAGTCTTTTGCTGTGCAGAAGTTTTTCGTCCCATTTATTTATTTTTGCCTTTACTTCCCTTGCCTTTGGGGTCAAATTCATAAAATCTTCTCTAACACCAAGGTCCATGAATTTAGTACCTATGTTTTCTTCTATGTAATTTGTTTAAGATCTTCTATTTAGGTCTTTGATCCATTTTGAATTAATTTTTGTACATGGGGACAAACTGCAGTCTAGTTTCATTCTTTTTTTAAAAATTTTTAAATTTATTTTTAATTTTTTTATTTTTATATATCTTTATTGATTTCAGAGAGAGGAAGGGAGAGGGAGAGGGAGAGAGACAGAAACATCAATGATGAGAGAGTCATTGATCGGCTGCAGCCCGCAACCCAGGCATGTGCCCTGATTGGGAATTGAACCCCGATCGCCTGGATCCTAGGTCGACACTCAACTGCTGAGCCACACCCGGCCAGGCTAGGTATTTTATTCTTTTTGTTGCAATTGCAGAAGGAATTTTATTTCTTTTTCTGAAATTTAATTAATATATAGGAATGCAGTGGATTTTTGTACATTGATTTTGTATGGACTCTTGTATTGATTTTGGTGGACTCTTTAGGGATATATATATATATATATATATATATATATATATATATATATATAATCATGTTATCTGAAAAAGTGACACTGGATTATCTTTTAACCAATTAGATATAAACTTAAGTGAAGTAAAAGATCTTTACATTTTAAGCAATTTATTGAAAATTCTCCAAGAGACGCATGGAATTTTTGTGTTTATTCATTAGAAGAACTGTAAACAACATTTTATACAAATCTTGAACAATTCTTTTACAAACATGACCAGAATTCATAAAACTTTACAAAAAAATAAAAATAAAACAGACCTAAGAAAAGGAAGCAGCTCCAGATCACAGGGATAAAATACAACCCCCATCCCTGAAGCAAAGGTCTCCTCACAGAGGGATGGCCAGGATCCACCACAGTAATACCTCCTGCCCCCATTTTATAAACAATTCCCAGTTACTAACTGTTCCCTCAGGTTGGACTGTCAGAAGAGACCAAATGGGGAGATATCTGGTAAAAGCCTGTGTGGGGTAAGCTGCTTAATAAACATTTTAAAAAAGACACAGGCGCAGTTCTATTTTCTGGACCCACATCTACAGGAATTTATAGCACCGTTGTTACATGCTGTCGGCTTCAGATTCATACATGCACACTGAGTGATGTAATGACAATACTGTACAAATCAAACATTTTATCCTCATATAACTTGTAAGGTTAAGTCTGAATAAATATTTTTTATGCCAGTTAAAACCATCAGGAGTTGAAGAAAACTGACATTTGCTGTAACATCAACGAAAATTGCACCATTACTGACAAAATCCTTTTCCCAATCACTACTCTGCTTCAAAGGTTGGGGTGATTATGTGGTGTTGTCCCAGGAAATGTTCATATTCTTGACTTCTATTTAATTAGAGCAAAAAGTCCAACAATTCTAGGGGAACGAAAAAAGAATCTCATTAAGACGTCTATAGTTTGAAGTCCCATATCCTGAGAGCTGAGCTGGCTCTGCTACACTTCAGCTTAAAACTTTTTCAACAGCTGCAATCCCACAGAGCTCCAACTTCCATTGGCAGGATTAACCAACTTTCTCTGTGCTCACAAGCTAACAGTTCTGCTTCAGTTCTGCTTCAGTCCTGGCTCTGTTGTATAACTTTGGGCAAGTTATTTAAAGTCTCTGAATTCCAGTTTCTTCGCTAGTAAAATGGAGAGGCAGGTACCTCAGAGCTGATTTAAAGACGATAAGATGGCACACGTACATGTACCACAGTGCATGGCACATAGACACTAAAAAATAAAAGGTAGTTCTCATGTCCTTGAAAGGACATTTCCTCTTAGTTATAATTCTAAAAAGTTTCATGTTGACACACAAGGAACAAGCTACTCGAGTGCCACACAATGTGGGGGATGAGCTGCAAGACGTCTACTTTTACAAAATGCTCAATAACAGTACTAATAAAGAGGGATCCCACATAAGTGAGACACCCCTAGACAAAACATTGGACAAAAAATGAGGGAAAGAGATATGATAAGGATATTCCTTAGCTCAACTCAAAGAGCGCATAGGTTTAAAGCTGCCGTGGTATTTCAGTGATGAGAATTCTGTGTGTAGGGCTAGTGTCTGCCCCTTCTATCATGCCTCCCTAGGACCTTAAACTCAGCATTTCTCTCACTATGCTTCTCTGTGAGCTGTGGGTTTTTTTTAATGCAACACTAAGTCTTTCCCTGATAAAAGACAAATCCCTTCATAGCCTAAGCACAAAACACAAAGAATGAGCCCAAGAATCAAACAGAAAAGGCCACTTAAAAACAACCAGAGGCAGAGTAAAGAGAGCACTGGTTCCAGATGACTCCCAACAGTTCTCTAGTGATTACTAAAGCAGCAACAGGAGAATCCTCCAAGAGCTTGGCCCACTCTATAATCTTTTCCACTTGCAAGGACTTTGTAGAATACTTTGGGGCATCCTGACTCTTGGAAAAATATTTTCTTTGGCACTTTCTGTCCTATTTAGGATGAGACAGTCAATCGAAGATTTCATTTCTTCTGCAGAAATTTCATTTTACTTCCTAAAGGGAGAAAAGAGTAGAGTGAACTCTCATTAGTTCATTTTTATTTATTGTATATTATTTGAAGCAAGGGATTAACAACCTAGTATTCAGAACAGCCCAGGAGTAAGCTGCTGTCTCAAGCTACCAGTTGATGTGATTAACTGCCCCCAACCCCCAAATGTCTAATTGTAGAGGTAGAAGAGAACTCAGACATCATCTAATCCAGTGGTTTTCAACCCTGTGTGTAGGTTAAAATCACCTGGTCTGTTCCCCAGAGATTATAATATTGTAGTCAGAGCCGAGAACCACTGATCTAATCTAACCCCATGGTATAAAGATGAAATAACAGGCCAAGGCACAATTTGCCCATGGCCTCTCAGCTAGTTAAGGATAGGGCCTAATTTTAATTAGGGGTATATATTTCAAAGACCAATGTGAATACCATAGGCTGTAGGTTCTTTATTGTTTGGGCTACTACAACCACTGTTCTCCTATATCATACTGAATAATTTAAAGTTAACTATAATTGAACAATCATAAACAATCATGTTTCTTTATGAAGTGTAAAATTAGAGACTTGCAGGAAATCCCCTTTTGTTTCAGATGCCCTCTAAGCCTGGTGTTTTAAACTGGAGTCTATGGATGGACTTCAGGAGGGGTCCATGAACACCCTAAAATTATATATGCAAAATGTTTGTATGCCCTAAGTATATTTTTCTGGGGGAAAAGTTCACAGTTTTTATAAGATTCCCCCAGGGATGTGACCTAGAAAAGATTAATAATCATGACACGCAAATTCTTACATCATAAGGGGGCGTCTTCTGAGGAAAACAATCCAATGGACAACTCTGATGGGGAATCCCAACCTCCGAGAAAGAGAATTCTTTCTCTCCAAAACACTTTGGAATTAGGGGTTATGGTTTCTGGTCAGCCTACCTGAGGTTATATCATTGATCTGAGGATAAAGCTTTTGCAATGAGGCACACTTACCGCAAAAGCTTTTTTCAGCCACATTTTTAATAGGAAAATAATAGCAACTTACCAAGACTCCGCAAAATTCTGTTCACCCCACTGGGCTCAGTCTCAGGAATTGTTTCCAAATACTGGAAGGCCCGGACCTCGAACAGACCTACAAGGAAAACACATGTTGGTGAAATTCTCCAGCGCTCAAGAGTGAAAATCAATTAAATAGAACTCTGTGCTCACTACTATGTACCTCCATAGTTAAGACAATATTACAAAAAAAAATACTTCCCACAATAAACAACTCAGATTTCGAGCCCTGTAGCTTTATGCTATTTTTTTGTTTATATTATTTTCAAGCCTTCCAAGTGCTCATTAAATACAGAGGGAGAACTTTATGAGAAAACCGACCTTTCACCCCACTTTTCCGAAGCTCCCGATCCTGGATGAATCCTGCAAACATCTGAGTTTCCATGAAGAGGTCCAGGAAGTGGCGAACGCTTCGGGAGGTGTGGGATTTACGGAATGGCTCCCTTTGGAATATACGCTCCCCACGCTCAGTGACAGTCATGTTCAGAGAATAATGTCCCACCAGCTCCACGAAAAACCTGACAAATGCTTCGGACACCAGAGAGTTAAGTGTCACATCTGATGCACAATGAAAGAAAAAGAAAGAAAAAAAGTCCTTTAAGTTTTGTGTTTATGGGAACACTGGCTCTAGTTTTGCTGCCTAGGAAAGCACAGGTCAAAGCAAGGAGAACTAACGTAGGAACACTCACTATTAGCTGTCCTGCACCCTCTGTGACCTGCAAAAAGCAGGCAGCTCACATCCTTACCTTGTCTTCCTTCACACTCATTACCTTTTTGATTTGCAAAGCCTGGCTGCACATCTCTGATTTCACTGGAATGGCTCTTTCTGAGGCCAACAGTGAGAACCAAATTGCACTTGCGTTTCTGCCTTTAGACTCCTTTAAACTCTGTGCTCACCTCCTCCTCAGCCCTCTGGTCTCCCACAACTATGTGCTCTCCCGAGTCCTGATTCCTCTCCTGCCTTTATGACCAACACCATTCCCTTGCCCCTTCCTCTTCCTGAGCATAGTCCTCAGGCCACTTCTCAACATTCCTTTCCTTAAGCAGCTCATTGGCAGCGAGCGAGAGCTGGCTTTCCGCATGCTAATTCCGGACCCTGGACCTCCATCCCTGGTATTTCACCAAAATTCACCTTCTGTGTTTTCAGACCACCATTGGGTGACCATCATTTGGCTGTCCCATTAACACTTAAATCCCATTTGTCTCAAAAATCAGGACCTTTTGGGAAAATAGTAGAACATGAATCGAACAAATAAACAATACATGTTCCAACCCATATTCATTATATTTTTCCACCAAATAAGTTTCTCAACTTTCCCATTTCATATAGTACCATGATTATTCCATAATACATAATAATCTACTGAGTGCTTAAAATATGTCAGGCACTGTATTGTATTGTGGTTTTACAAATGTTATAATCCAACAAGGTGGATATTATTATTTCCCTTTTACACATGAGGAAACTGAGGCTCAAAACAAAGAAATTCTCCAGAGTCATCTCATCTAAGTACAGCAGAGAAGCTGCCTGACTCCGCCCCACCTTTCTTTCATTAATCCTCACCTGAGGATGTTTTTTCCATTGCTGGCTAATCTTGGCCCTTTGAACGTCCATTAAAACTTTACAAAAAGCTGAATGTCAGTCCAATTCTTTCTCTCTCTTTTTTTTTAAAATATATGTATCTTTATTGATTTCAGAGAGAGGAAGGGAGAGGGAGAGAGATAGAGACATCAATGATGAGAGAGCGGGGATTGACTGGGGATTGAGCCCACAACCTGGGCATGTGCCCTGACTGGGAATTGAACCATGATCTTCTGGATCCTGGGTCGATGCTCAACTGTTGAGCCACACCAGCCAGGCCCAATTCTCTCTTGAACCTTCCCCAATCCTGTTTTCTTCCCATCATTTAGCAGAATCTGCTGTTACCAAGGCAGCCGGGGATCGAGCCTGCAACCAACGGAGGTGCCCTTGGCTGGAACTGAACCAGGGACCCTTCAGTCCATGGGCCGATGCTCTAACCACTGAGCCAAGCCGGCTAGGGCTATTTTATATTTTTAGATTTCACATATAAGTGAAATCATACAATATTTGTCTTATTTCACTTAGTATAATACCTTCTAGGTCCATCTGTGTTATCCCAAATGGCAATTTTATTATTGCTGAGTGATATTCCTTGGTGGATATACACACATCTTCTTTATCCATTCATCTACTGATGGACATCTAGGTGGCTTCCACATCTTGCCTTTTACTAGTAATGCTACATTGAACATGTGCCTTTGTAAATCAGTGTTTTTGTTTTCTTCTGATAAATGCCCAGAAGAGGAATTGCTGGTTGTATGGCAGCTCATTTTCTGAGGAACCTACATACTGTTTTTCCATAGTGGCTGCACTAATTTACAGTCCCACAGGACAGGACAATCAGGAAAAGCCTCACTGAAAAAGTGACATTTGAGCACAGAAGAGTGAGCAGGGGCCATGTGGCTGTCTGGAGGAACAGCTGTCCATAAATGGGACTGAGCAAGTACAAAAGTCCTGAAATAGAAGGGGACCTGGCACATCTGAGGGTCAGCAGGGAAGCTCATCATAAGCTTTTCAAGGCACAGGCACAACCTCATACTTCTTTGTGTATCTTTTAGTGGGGTGCTGGGCACTCAGTAAATATTTACTGCCTTGACCTTAAGTCCTCAGGCCACCTGTCACATACCTTGTGAAAAATTCTGCTCCTGAGCCAAGATTTCATCTCGTTCTTCCAAAATCTGCATGAGGGCAGCTTGGAGTTTAGGCGGTAAAATGTCATCCTCATCAGACACCTTATGAGAGGAAATGGAGATTTTCATGAGCTTGAGAGTGCCTCAGACACGCACTAGTCAGCTCCCCAAATTCCACAGGCAACTCTCTATATGTGGCTGAAGGGTCAGTCTGAAGCTACCCTACAGTGAGCAGAATCCATGATGCTTATGATGTATACATCCTAACTATATTAAACAAATAACATACTGATCAAATTTTCTGGTACTTTCTACAAAATTTCTCTCATCTGCAAGTCTTATGTTAGAAAGATCATCCTCAAACAAATGGTGTTTCAAATGTGATGAGCTAAGTGATTCTGAAAACAAAGTCTTGGGAAACATTCTTTCAACCCTGTATTCAGTGCTCACAAGCCCATATACAGTTTATACACAGAGAGCTACTCTAAGAAGGCGTTACTAACTCTGCCTTCCACTTTAATACCCAGAAGAATGGACCACTTCTTTTTTTGCCCCTACTATACACTTTGTACAAATTCCTATTATACTATTTCTAAAACTTTACGTGTATGTATGTGCCCCCTCCCCACTGTTAGACTAGAAGGCCTAAGGGCTCAAATTCTGTCTTACTCATAGATTCAGAATATCTGGAAATAATCAGTTTTAAATGCTTAAGTTTAATTAAATTAGAGGCTTATACGTCAACTTGTCTGGACTTGAAGGGAAGGTTACCCGTTTTGAGAATGACATTCTGTTTCCTCCTTCCTTCTTTGGGATACTCAGCTAAAACCCGAGCCAAATTTTTCAGGTCAGTCTTGTATGATCGGCCACAGTGCCAAGTCAAGTATGTGTAGGAACTAAAAGTCTTGTCTGAATCATCTTCTCTAAGTACTTTCACATATTTTCTGTCTAATTATCCCCAAATATTATGTAATCGCCTCCTTTGTCACTCACCTCCTGTAAAAACTTGTCTGCACAGAGATCAACTATCAGCACCTATGGGATAAAGGAGCGAGGCAAGTTAAACCAGAGACAGTCACAAATAAATATGTTAGGCACTGCTTGGTCAGAAAGAGTGTTTTGATTCTTTCAAGCAATGGGAACATTTTTAAACAAAATTAACTTAAAGTTATAACCCATTTAAAAATTACCTCACCAATACACCAACAAATAAATTGCAAGTGAAAAGAATGATGGCAGGCACATCTACAGATTAAAAGAGTCTAAAAAACATACCAACCAAATGTAACGTGTGGACTTTATTTGGGACCTGACTCAAACAAACTATTAAAGATTTATGAAATAATTGGAGAGTTGAACCCTAAATTTTGCTGATATTACAAAACTGTTATTAAATTTTTAGGTGTGATAACGGTATTGTGATTTTGTTAAAAATGCCATTATGTTAGAGATTTATTTTGTAATATTTAGAGATGAAATTATGTCACAGTATGCTTCAAAATACGTGGGAGAGTGGAATGGATAAGGGTAAAGATTGGCCATAACGTGGTAAGTATTGAACTAGGGTGACTGGATTTATTTTGCTCTTTTGTTTACTTTTACATATGTTCAAAATTTTGCATCAAAGTTTTTAAAAAGGTTATTACAAAAATCAGTTGCATTTCTATACAACTATCTGAAAAAGAAATTATTAAGAAAATTTCACTTTCAATTGTATCAAAAAGAATAAAATACCTAAGAATAAATTTAACCAAGGAAGTGAAACATATATACACTGAAAACTATAAGACACTGATGAGAAAAATTAAAGACACAAATAAATGGGAAGAAATTCTGTTTTCAGGGATTGGAAGAATTCATAGTTAAAATATTCATACTACTCAAAGCAATCTACAAGTCAATGCAATCCCAAAGATATTTTTCATTGAAATAGAACAAATAATCTAAAATTCATATAAAGCCACAAAAGATTCTAAATAGCCAAAGAAATCTTGAGAAAGAAGAACAAAGCTGAAGGTATCTCACTTTCTGATTTCAAACTACTTTATACAGTAATTAAGAGAGTATGGTATTGGCATAAAAAAGGACACACAGATCAATGGAAGAGAATAGAGTCCAGGAATAAACTAACTCATACATAGTCAATCAATTTACAACAAAAGAGCTAAGAATATACAAATGGGGAAAGGACAGTCTCTTCAATAAATGGAGTTGGCAAAACTGGACAGCCACATGCAAACAAAACAAAACAGAACAACTGCACCCCTATCTTACACCATACACAAAACCCAACAAAATGTAAAGACTTGAATGGAGGACCTGAAACCATAAAACTTAGAAAAAAACATAGGAAGCAAGCCTCTTCCTATGAAGATCTTAGTCTTGGCAATGATTTTTTGAATTTGACAGCAAAGGTAAAGGCAACTTAAGCAAAAATAAACAAGTGGGGACTACACCAGACTAAAAAGCTTCTGCACAAAGAAACCATCATAAAATGAAAAGAAAACCTACAGAGTGGGAAAAATATCTGCAAATCATGTATCGGATAAGGGTTTAATATGCAAAATATATAAAGAACCCATAGAACTCAACAGCAAAACAAACAAAAACAATCCAATTAAGAAATAGGCAGAGAAATTGAGTAGAGATTTTTTCCAAAGAAGATATATAATGGCCAATAGACACACGAAAAGGTACTCAACCTCATTAAACATCAAGGAAATGCAAATCAAACCACAATGTGGTATCACCTCACACCTTTTAGAATGGCTGTTATAAAAAAGACAAGAGATAAATGCTGATGAGGATGTGGTGAAAAGGGAAGCCTGTGCACCGCTGGTGGGAATGTAAACTGGCGCAACCATATGGAAAAAAGTATGGAGGTTCCTCAAAAATTATAAACAGAACTACCATGTGATCCAGCAATTCTACTTTGGGCATAAATCCAGAGGAAATGAAATCACTATCTCAAAAGGATGTACGCACTCCCATGATCACTGAAGCATTATTTACAATAGCCAAGACATGGAAACAACCTATGTGTCCACTGACAGATGAACAAAGAAGATGTTATATATATATATTTATATATGTGTGTATACACACACACACACACACACACAATGGAATGTTATTTAGCCATAAAAAAGAAGGAAAACCTGCTATTTGTGACAACACAGATAGGCCTTGAGGGCATTATGCTAAGTGAAATAAGCCAGTCAGAGAAAGACAAATNATTTATATATGTGTGTGTATACACACACACACATACACACAATGGAATGTTATTTAGCCATAAAAAAGAAGGAAAACCTGCTATTTGTGACAACACAGATAGGCCTTGAGGGCATTATGCTAAGTGAAATAAGCCAGTCAGAGAAAGACAAATACCATATGATCTCACTTATATATAGAATCTAAGAAAAACAAACTCATAGATACCAAGAACAGATTGGTGGTTACCAGAGATGCGAGGGTGAGGAGTGGGCAAAATGAGTGAAGTTGGTCAAAAGATACAAACTTCCAGTTATAAAATGAGTAAGTCCTGGGGACAATTAACAAAACTGCACTGTATACTTGAAAGTTGCTAAGAGAGTAGATCTTAAAGTTTTCATCACAAGAAACGTGTAACTATGTGAAGTGATGAATGTTAACTACATTTATTGCGGTAATCATTTCACATTATGTACATATGTCAAATCATTATGTTGTACATCTTAAACTAATACCATGTTATAGGTCAATTATATATCAATAAAACTGGGGATTGGGAAGGTTAACGCAGCAGAGTAATGGAGAACAGTCCTTTCAATAAATGGTACTAGGAGAGTTGTAACAACACCTACCTCCTATCAGATACAAAAAAATCCAGTCCCAGGATTCAGAACCAAAAATTAAAGGCACAAGAATAAAGCTTCCAAAGCTTCCAGGAGATAATGTCGGAGGATATCTCCATGAAGTTAATATAAAGAAAAATTTAAGTAGCTTGCACACACAAAAATCTCTAACCATAAAGGAAAAGACTGATAATTCTGACCACATTAGAATTAAGAATTTCTGTGCATTAAAAAACCCTGTTTTGGAGAATGATTTTTCAAGCCATCAGGGGCTGGTATGTAAAATACAAAAAGGGTCTTACAAATCACCAAGGGTGAACAATCCAGCAGAAAGATAGACAAGGAATTTTATACAAAATGCTATTCAAATGGCCAATAAACATAGAGAACGATGCTCACCCTCAACAGTAATCAAGGAATGCAAATTAAACCACAATGAGAATATCACTACACACCCACCAGAGAGGCTAAATTACACAAACTGATGACAACAAGAATTGCTGGCAAGGATGTGGAGCAACAGGAACTCTTATACACTGCTGGAGGGAGTTTAGTTTGGCACAACTATTTTGGAAAACAGTATGACTTTATTTACTGAAGGTGAAGATATGCTTACCCTATAACCCGGCAACTCCATTTCCAAGTATATACCCATAGAGCTGCATGCACCTATGTACCAAGGGTCATGTACAAGAATATTTACAGCAGCCTTATTCATAATAACCCCAAACTGGAAGCAACTCAAAATATCCAACTGTAGGATAGATAAGAAGATTGTGGTACATTCACACAATGGAATACTATACACAATGAGATGATCAAATTACTGTAAATCTCATCATGGATGAATCTTACAGACATAATGTTGATCATAAGAAATCATTCAAAAAAAAAATAAAAAAAAATATATATATACACACACTCTATGAGTCCATTTATATAAAGCTTAAGATCAGGCAAAACTGAATTATATTGTTCAGGGGTACATGCCTAGGATATAAAACTATAAAGTAAAACAAGTACATAAACACCATAAAAGTCAAGACTGGTAACTTTCTGTGGGGGGAGGGGAAGGGAACAGTGACTAGAAGGAGGCATGAAGGAGACTTTTGGGGTGAGTGGGGGGCGGCTGGCAGTGTTTCCATTGTTGTAATGTTTCCATTATATTCAGTGTTGTTACATAAGCAACAGGTGATAATTCACTGCGCTGCACATTTTGTTTTGGGCACTCATCTACATGTGCATTATCTTTGAAACAATTTTTAAAGTTAATCCAGAGTAGTTTTTATGTTTGACTTTAAAAAAGAGACCTAACCTTTAAAATAATACAAGAATGAGCCCATAGTTCACAACTGTAAATAAGATACATGTGTACCATAAATTCATGTACACTGTAGAATTTCTCACTTTAAGATACAAAAATATGATAGCATAATGTATTAATAATAATGTATTAACATTAATTAACAACTCCATCACTCTTAAAGATCACTTGTTTTCATTGTCAGTGCTCCAGTCTTTACCACAGGTACTACTACTCCCCTCTCACCTCTTCAATGGGCAGGTCCTGGAGCTGTGGTAAAGAGCAAGACAGGATTCCAATGAGGAATGGAGTAGGTGAGCACACGATGTCGATCATAGATGCTGGCAGGACTGGGATGTAGGTGTGTTGCCAGGTAAATGGATACAGTGTGGCAACTACAGCATGGCCACATTTCGACAGGGTGCTAGCCAGAGGAGAAAGCAAACGGTGTCACAGAGCATCCTATGGAGGCATTGCAGATGTCACGTAAACAGAATTACCAATGGATGGCAGTTAGTGATCACAGATTAACAATTCTGTGATTACTCATTAATTTTTAACATTTTATTTAAAAATTTAACTTAATTCACTGGAAATCATTAATTTCAATCCAGCTCTTCCTTCCAATTTATATTACTAAAATTTAGTGTGTACCTAGAAAAGCAATGCTAATTTTTAACAGCTTAAGCAAAACACATTTAGAAAGGTAAATTAATTGCAACATCCAAAAGTCACTGCTATAGCTTAGTGCAAATAGGTTTTGTATTATTTACCATTTGGAATTATCCATGTCACTATGGCATTAGGTAACTGATTGAGTACCTACAGTTTTTTAATATGACCAAGTTTTAAAACAGTCAAAGCACATAAAACACCAGTGGGAAGTCACATTATTTACTTATTTCTCACCTTAGGCTGTTAGCCACAAAGATTACCCTTCGCTCCAAAAGGAGAGAGGCACAGACCCGGATGAGGTGACACACGCTCAGGCACTTAAAGAGACATTCGAAGTCCACATGCTCTAATCGGGAATCCAGTGGTCGGCAGAGTTCAATGGACTGAAATGCAAGAATCTGAATCAGGGAGCTGAAACAATTCTAATGACAACACTAATGGGTCCTGTCATTCTTTTATAGGTCAAGTTCAAGAAAAAGGGTCTGCTACAAAGAGTTTGTGAAGCTGCCTACCCTAATCCCAAGACTGAACACCTTATTTTTGTAATTTTGTAAATTTCTGGTAAAATCCTTTATCTCACCTGACAACAGTATGTATAATCTTCATTTATCACAATTTATTGTAATGACTGAAGTTGTCATTACCAAGCGGCTCAACTGGATATTTCTCCAGTGCTTTGTGAGGCTAAAATATTCCATACAGTTTACAGAGAAGGGAAAATAGGCTCCTGAAAACTGCCTACCTGCTGCTGTGAGGCCTGGCAGCTATCAAACCTTTGCAAAATGAACTAACTCACCCCATCTCCAGCCCCAGGGAGGTAGCTCTTGACTGTGATGGTGCGTCCAGGAGCTGGGAAAGGAGCTTCCATGACACTTCGCATGAACGGGTAAACCAGAGCTGGAGACATTTCTCTTCTCTTCTCTACTTCATCTAGAATCTATTCATACAAAATATGTTATTTTATTAGGAACTCAAAGACATAAAAAAGACATAAAAAATAAACTGCCAAACTTGGTGTGCAAACTTAAAAATAACACCAATTTAAAAAAAAATAAGCTTCCACATTATATGCCTTCATTAAAGGCACTGTATCTCTTGGGAGTATCTTTATATCACCAAGAAAAGTTATTAAAATAAATCAACTTATTTTTAGAAGAGGAGTCCCTTTTATTTCACTAAGGGAGGGGTAAAGAAGGTGACACTGACAATGACATACTGCAGTTTGGGGTCTGGGAACGATGAGATAAGATAAGCTTCAGGCAATGTCCTCGTCTGAGCTAGCAAAGCAGGATATGGGTGACTTGGCAACAGCATCTGGATTAGAGATCTAAGTTTAAGCCTTCACACCGGTGGCTCTAACCCACTAATGGGAAACCCTTTCTAAAGTAGTATGCCCAGTGACGTAATCAGAAACCTAAACTTACGCAGAGCTCAGAAAGAACACCACTTTTCATAAGGGACCATTCCCCACTCACCTTTGAAAAAAGGTTGAAGCAGCCTAGGCGACTGACCATGCAGTAAACCTCAGGGAGTCGCTTTCCTTTGCCTTCTGGCTAATAGAAAAGAACCAACAAAGCAAAAATGAAGCAGCACAAGTTTTTACTAATTTGGACTATCAACACTCCCTTAATACTCTTTAATACAAAGTAGAAATCAAGGTTTTCATCCTCAATGAGCACTGAAAGACCGGGTAATGCTAAAAAAATAGCATAATTATTCCAGGTTTAGTGGAGGCATTTAAGCCAGAAGAAAGGAACTCAGAGCCCTTGATTGACTCATTGCACTCCACTCCTCAAATACACCCAGACCGATGCAGCCCTACTCAGTGGTTCCTTTCTCTATTACAAACAAACAAATAAAATAAATAAGTCCACACCCTTTTCCTCTAAAGTACTCTGTGACTAACCCCAACCTCGCTCTTACTGTTGAAAGCTAACATAGCTTCTTTAACACACAAATCACTGAAGAGACCTCAAACTCATCTGGAGATAGTGTTTCTGAAGTTCCTAGTGTGAGTCTATTGCTCCTTGACCAGCCCTACCTGTAGCACAAGCCTGGAACTTACCAAAAGCTTCTTACAGTAACCAAACCACCGGCTCCCATCTTCACCAGTTAAGACAAAGGAGAATGTTTCACTGAAAAAAAACAGGAACTAGTTTGAGATCCAAACAACTGCTTATGACATTCCTCATGGAACAACTGAAAATCAGAGCCTAACAGCAGTGACTTTGTGATGGCAGAGGAGGTAATGATGTTACATTCACTGCAAGTCACCCTGCTCCCGAGGGAGAAAGCCCAGGCCTTGACTGTCCTGTCTGGCACGGGAGTGAGAGTCCAGGGAGAGGACAAGCTGTTGATGCTGCCACCTCCTTTTACTCATTTATCTAGCCTAGCTGTCGTCAAGCCTGTTTTCCTTTTGTTGAATGTCCAATGCAGTCAAATACATCAGGCAGCTATATGTGACTGTAATAAGCTATTTTGCCTCCCAAATTCTTCTATATAGTTCTGCGAGGTCATATGGAACAGTGATAGGCAAAGGATAGTACCCTTAATATATAAAAATTAACAGAAAAATCAGCAATTCCTCATTAGAATCATAGGCAAAAGATATGCAGAGATAATTTACGAAAAGAAGATCTAACGATGCCCAAGAAGTGAGTTCATTAATAATAAAAAAGTCCAAATTTGAACAATAAATACACATATCCATGTACAGCCAAAATGAAAACCCGGAAGGGAATGTGGCAAACTATTTACAGTGATTATCTCTGAGTAACCGGGATGCCAGTGACTTCTCATTTCTGCTTTTTACTTACTTCTCTGTATTTTCCAAATATTCTAGAATAAACACACATAACCTGTTTGGGCGGGGTGGGGTGGGGGTGGAGGAACCAGCCAGGGCAATAAGGAAGCAGCAGCCCCTCCAGTTTGCAGTGTAACTGCCAGCACAAAAGCATCAGGATTGATGGTGCAGAGGCGAGAGTGGCGATCAGGCTGAACTGGTTATGAGAGACAGCAGCTTAGACTGGAGGCAACAGGAGGCAGAAGGGCAGGGCTACTTAGGCAACGGCTGAGGCTGCCTTCCAGCAGGGCATTATCATGTGATATGGGTCACAGAACCACACTTTTCAGTCTGAATGGCATGATCAATAATCACAGGTGTCAACAAAGTAGTTATCGATTTTCAAGCAGGATGCACAAACAATAGTTTATTATTGAAATTGGTATTTTTCTCTTCATACCGGGAAGAAATTCTTTATACCTCCCTCTCAACATACTACACATCCCAAACTGGAGCCTCCCCTTGTACATGTCCCACAGGGGCCCATACAATCTGGGCCATGGCTTCTTCTATCACGCTGAAGATGCACTGCTCTGTTTTATCTGTTTCTGAGTCTCTAAGGTCAAGTCTTTTCTCCTTTTCTATACCCTTGGTGGCATTTCTGATTGAATGTAAAGTGGAACTTTTCTTCCTGCAGGACTGGCAAAGCGGACAGACTCTCAAACTTGTTTTCCCTTTGACATTGACATTATTCCGTGTTTTTCTTTTTTGAGCCCCACAGAGGAAATGTTTAATTCTTTCTCCTTTCCTCCCACTGCATCCTTGACCTGCCACAGTATTCACATAGCTTCCCTGCTGACTCTCCCCACTTCTCAAGCACCAATTCTACATTTGTGGTCCCGACAAACAGAAATCATATAAAGTAGCCTATTTACCTCTTGAGTTCTGAGGTTGGAGCCCAGTCCTTCGAATCAGGAAAGCAAAATTTGGGGATAACTTTGAGTCTCTCTTCGGTGTCTTTGGATTGCTTAAAGCCATGGTCACCCTGAAAAAGAACAATACAGGTGAATAATATTCTATGTAAGTGGAGAACAGACAACAACTCAGCCTGTCTTGGGAAAAGAGGTCACTGATAAGCCTAAGTAGTCATCTCAGCCCACTTTTGTGCTGTTTAACAAGGCAGGAAGGGCCAAGACTGGTAATCTCAAGAGGCACTGAGAACAAAGTTACTGAGAATGAAAAATCCTATTTTCACACAGAAATGGTATTGTGGAGATCCTATAATCTGATATAGGAGAGAGAACTGAACATGGAACATAAAATAAATAAAAATCTGTTTTATAATATACTGATAGCAAAAGCCTAGTCAGCTCTAGTCACTCTCTGATCAATAATCAAAGATGTTTTGAAAAGGCAGATGAATGTTTCTCAGAAAAGAAATTTTTAGGCTCTGCCCCATATATGACTGTTTCCTTCAGCATGGAGTCTCTGCTATCTGATTGCTGGTTTGCAACTTGCTGTAAAATTTCAGCACAAAAGACCCTTTTGTGCAAGTCTGGCTATTGTACTTAAAGAACAGTCTAGGTTTAGTTAAAACAAAAGACATTGAAAAATTAGTATAAAAACAAGCAGATAAGTCTAATTACCAGATTGCTTTCATGTAACTAATACAAATGCTCTATCCTTTAGTTTCTAAAGCAAAACATGCAGCCATTCTGGATCACTTGGATATTAAGTTCTTAATAATGGAAAAGCATTTTAATAAAATTTTAGTTGTATCACATTCTATTATTTTTATATTGTTAAGTGACACAATCATCTTCATTCAAGGTTTCCCACAATAGGATCGAAAGGGGCTCGCTCGGTCAGCTCTTTCCTTCCCTAACTTACGATGCCTAATGCACAAAGATGCTAAGTGCTGAGAGACACCCCTGAGTCACTTCCAGAGCCAACTGATCCTTATCTGGTTCTGAGCTCATTAATTCAGGCTGTGCTGAAAACAGGTTCAACCTCAACATTTCTCTCTACAAATATAAAACATTAAAAATGGGGAAAAATGAAGCTCCTCGTTATGGAAAATGATTCCTCAAGACCATCTAGATTACATTATTTTGGATCTAATGGTACTATGTTACTAAGTAGGGCCATGACCCCGTACTCTCAGACTACACTGAATAATTTTATAGAAAATTAAACTTACTGATTTATTTATAATAGGGATGCTGTTGAGGATTTAAAAAAAAATTTCAAATTGATTTTTAGAGAGAGGAAGGGGAAGAGAGGGGGGGGGTCAAAGTGAGAGAGAGAAACATCAATCAGTTGCCTCTTACATGCGCCCAGACCAGGGATCGAACCCACAACCTGATTATGTGCCCTGACCAGGAGTTGAACCCATTACCTTTTGGTGCATGGGATTATGCTTCAAACAACTGAGCCACATTAGCCAGGGCTGTTGAGGACTTTTAAAAAGTGAGAATCCCGCCCGGCAGGCATGGCTCAGTGGCTGAGCATCAACCTACAATCCAGGAGATCTTGGTTCAATTCCCAGTCAGGGGACATGCCCAGGTTTCGGGCTCAATCCCCAGTGGGGGGCGTGCAGGAGGCAGCCGATCAATGACTCTCTCATCATTGATGTTTCTCCCTTTCTCTCTCCCTTCCTCTCCCTGAAATCAATAAAGGTATATTTAAAAAAAGAAAAAGTGAGAATCCCATCAGATTTCACTTACAAAGCACAAATTCAAAGACAAAATTATTAAGAACTGCAGTGGTGACTGCAGAGCATTCAATCCCCAGTACAGGGCCCTTCCGAGTGAGGGGCCCTGTGTGACTGTGCTGGTCACATGCCCATGAAGTCAGTCCTGGCTTACTCAGCTTTGGCCAATTCCTGCCACTCAGGAATGTTGGCTGAGTGCTGCGAGGCTTTCCTGTTTCTCAGGAAAAAGCAGAAATACAGATTTTTATGTGAAATTTGATTTTTAAACATTGGCAACAAATAATTTATTATTTTTACAAAAATACCACAAATACAAAAAAGGTCTGTAGGCTCAATTTGCTCAGAGGCCACCAGTTTGCAAGCCCTGATGTAAATGGTTATGTTTCTCTTTTGTATTTGCTGCTACAAAGCTCAGTGCCACATTTGGGGTCCATGTTATAAGCCCTGTGGGGGCAGGGACCAAGAAGACCTTTTCATTTGTATTCCTAGCACCTACTACCAGCAAACAGTAGGTATTTAAGAAATACTTGATGAAATGAATAAATGAATCATGTTTTGAAAAAAGCAGAGCAAACCAAATCATATTGTTAATAATAGCTACCATTTATCAAGTGCTTACTTTATGCCAGGAACTGTGCTTTATAGACATTATGTTGTTAAATCCCCACTAATAATGACTAGCATTATCTAGTGTCTACTATGTGACAGACACTGTTCGAAGGGCCTTATACAGCTCATTTAGCCCTCACTACAATTCAGTGGGGCAAACACTATTATGATTCCCTCCATTTTATAAACGAAGAAACTGAGGCACAGAGCAGTTAAGTAATTGATCAAAGTTACAGAGTTAGTGACAAATACAGATAGTTGGCTTAGAATCTGTGCTCTACACCGCTACCTGTTCTGCCACATTTACGATTCCTCTCGTTAAGGATGAGAAAACTGAGGCTTTGTAAGTTGCTAAAGGTCACTTAGTAGACAGCAGAGCAAAATATAAAGAACAAACTTGGATAATGAGCTTTTCCCCCCTTGCAGTGGCGGCTTATGCCTGACATAAGATGTCATCACAGTCATTTACCGGATCCTAGAAGAAGCACAGTGCTACCAAAGCTTACTGAGATAACAATAAACAAGAAGAGAGGAAATAAATACACGCAGAGACCCAGAAACTTTCCCAAATGCCTCCTAGCCTGCTTGCACCTACCTTGCTAGGGAACTGCTGAATGACCTGGGGAATGTAGCTTATTTCTGACGGTTTCTTCTGTAGAGACACTACCACAAAGAGTTCAAACAGCTGCTGCTCCTGTAATTCAATGAGATCGCGCTCTAAGGTCTGGTAGTGGGGATTCCTCTTGGAAGGCTGCTGCAGTTGTGCTAAGCGCTTGTGGCGATCTGCAATGACATCACGGAGCCTTGTTTTTCCTGGGAAGCCCTAGCTTCCCTCTAGCACCCAGAGGGTGCAACCCATACGGGACTACTCTTCACTCAGGGGTTGCTGAATGAATGTTGACTAATCAACATCTGCTGCACAGACATACTTGTTAGGGCTATGACATGCTTGAGGGTCAAATGCAGATTCTCACAAGCACCTGGGGGCACCCGTGTTGGGATTAATGTTCTGTGTCCCAACTGATACTCTATGTCCCAACACATACTCTATGCTATCCCATCTTTCAAGCATGACACCAGGACACATGGAACATGTCAAGCAAAGCACTGGCCTGACAAAAGATGTCACTGTTGGGACCATGAAATCATGAGGGGTAGGGAGGAGAAAGATCTGATAAAAGAACTGAGTCCCACAGAAGGTAAGTACATAAAGGGACGAGTCTGATAAAATTAAAACAAAAACTATCCTCACATGAAAGAAGCTGTCCTTTTCCCCTCTCTCCTTGGCACATAGTTCTAAGAATGGACATGTGCTTATATCAATAAATGATGCTAAATGCAAGAGGAAATAATTGCAGTAGAAGACATCCATTAGTCGACTATTTCTCAAAAGAATGAAATTATGGAAATATACTATTTAAACAGTATAAGCAATACCACTCAAAAGTGGATAGCATTTATCCTTTATTCTCATTTATCTCTAATTCTGAACAATCTGAGGTAGTCTCCACCCAGGAAAATGTAGTACTTGCAGGAGAAATAGTCCAAGAGGCGCAGAGATTTGCCTACACGTGTCATTCTACGCCAATGATGGACTCATCCTCTGACTAATCATTTTGCCTTTTTTTTGGAAATATGATGCATTCCACCCCCAAAAGAGTTACACTATGGATCAAAGATACATCTAGGAGTGGCTCCCCAGAATTACCCAGTACACATAGTGTCCTAGGAAAAGTTTTCCCTATCCCAAAGGACTCAGTTCAAGTCAAGAAAATTTGAGGTCCTGTTTCTCAGTATCAACAGCACTAAATTAGTCATCTGTGCACATCCAGGCTGAACCTGATGCTGACTTAAGTTTCACCTTCAGCCAGGCTGCAGAATCAAACACCTGAAGCAATTCAGGCCAGTGGAGGGAGCACCTGGCTGTTAATGACAAGATCAGAGTATCAGACTCGGAACGGCCCTGCACGCAGCTTTGGTTTTTCATGTCTCTTACTTTTTCCACGCCTCATACGCCAGAACAGGAAAACTTGCTATGAAAATCCATTAAATGAAGGATATTCAGCACTATTAAGTATTTGAATACATATAGCCCTTTAAAATGCATGGCATATTCTATATTCTAACAAAAGTAAACAGCACCATAATTTGGAATGTAAATGCCCATGAATAAAACGTAGATCAATGTTTTCAGTCTCAATGGCAGAGATATCAGTTACTTAATTACACTCGAGAGACTATGAAAAATCAGATATTTAATGCCAAGTATTTGTCTCAGAGGATGATTCACACATACCCTATTTTGGCTGTTGGGAAATGTCTATACATTTGTCTGAACACGCAGCTCTGCCACTCCCGTAAGAACATTCCATCTTAAGAGGCATGCGGGTTTGCCTCACTCCACTATGGGAGTTTTTTAATGCTGTCAAACATCTGACAGTGTGCTGCTTAGCTCCCCAAATCTCAACAAGTTTTTATAATGAAGGCATCTCCTACAAAATGAAACTTCCTGTGGGAAAACATGCTTAATCACAAAGGTAGGTGTCACCCCACCTATAAGCATGATCATCACGAGAAAGGGAGCAGCCCATTGACTCACTCACTCTTTGGCAGATACTCGGCATCACTTTCGTTCCCACTGGTTTCACCTGAAAAGAGAGTAGTTTCCATTGATATTGTCCAATAGTAGGAAGTACAAGAGAATGAGAGCAACGTGAAACCCCCACAAACCTGGGGGCTGGAGTCAGGAAAGCGGAGCCTGTCTCCAACCACTTAGTTCCATCAAAGTAGAACAGTCGCAAGAGCGCAAAAGGCTCAGAGAAGAAACTATTCTGTCTTCTTCCCACACTCTTACTCCCTCCTCAGCTCCCCTCTCTTCCATAACTCTAGAAATTAACAGCAGTTCAGACTAGTTTTAAGGAGTCCAGTTCGGAGTGGCTTCTATTTCCATGCTCATCTCCTTATCTTTACATTCTAGAGTAAGGTACCAAAGTGGGATCCCTGACTAATCAGAGATCTCAACACAGAACAAACTATAAATTTAGAATAATGGAAAATGTTGGGTTAAGAGGGGTTACCAAGTAAATTTATGAAGTAACAGTCTAGCTCTTTGTAATACCTCTACCCTATCTCTAGGCCAAATTGAACTCTTTTACTCGGAATTCTTATAGTAGCAGACTGCTTTAAACTACTCTTATTTTTCCCAAACGGATTTTAAGTTTCTTGAGACTAGGGGCTATGTCCTTACACGAGAGTGTTTTATGAGTGAACAAAAAATTTCTAGATTAAGTCTGAAAAATTAAAGCAAAATTTAAAAAAATGTAAAGTAAGGGAGAATTTAAGATGTATCAGGAAAAACAAGGCCTAGGAGTCATAAATTTAAAAATGTATGTACATTTGATTATATAAAAATGTAAAATTTTTATTGGGTAAAAACATCATTAGTAATTTAAAAAGTGAACAATAAAATGGGAAAATCTTGGTAATTTGCACTGCAGACACCAGGCTAAGTTTCTAAATATTCAAATAGCTGTTATAAATGAACAGGAAAAATATAGTATGACAGAAAAATGAATAAAGGGTAGAAATAGGCAATCCTTAGAAAAAGATTTATAACTGCTGATAAATATAATTGTCCAAATTAATAATTTTAAAAATGTAAATTAAAATAATAAGATAGAAATTTCAACCATGATAGTGGCAAAAAAATAAAAAGCATTAACAAACACAGTATTAGTAAAGAGTGAGGGAAGTCACTTTCGAATGCTGTTCACGGATACATACACTCTTCCAGTCTGTTTGTGGGACAACTTGGCAGCAGCTATACAAATTTTAAATGCATGTATTCTCTAAGCCCATTGCTAGAAACTTATTCTACAGATGAATTCTTACCAATATACAAAAATATAAGCAAAAAGATGTATATTGCAGCAATACACACACACACACATACACACACACAGAACTTAAAATATACACAGGTTAAATAATATGTTAGAAACAATCAAAATGTCTACCAGCTAAATAAAAGTCTTTTACATCTCTACAAAGAAATACAGTACAGCTCTATGGATCTTTAGGTGTTGCTCCTGAAAGAACTACAAACTACATCAACTACGTGTTTTTTTAAAAAAGTAAGACATACAAAGTCTGAATGGTATAAAACCATTTGGGTAGAAAAAACTATTTGCATTTGCATAAAATTTTCTGGGAGTAGTAGGAGGAGGTTTGGGGAACTCTGGCTTTTCATTTTATTTTATTCTATATTATAACTTCTTGCTGTGCTCACCTTTATTTTATAATAAGGAATAAGAGAACATTATAAAAAAGACTGCCTCTTCATAAGATACATGCGAAAGGATACAAAAGAGATGTTACAGGAAAAGTAGCTATTTAAATATTATGTACCATATACGTTTGTAACTTCAAATTAACCACAGAGACAAAAGTATACTGGGGCTATAAAACTGTTCAGTATGAAGGAACAAACACTGTGAGTCTTATTTGTATCCTTAGTACCAGGCACCTTTGGGGAGCCTAAGGTGTCTGGAAAGAAAGAAAAAAGGGAGGAAAGGTAATATAACTGGAAAAGACCAGATTGTTTAAGTGGCTTTAATACATTCATGTCCATGGGTTCTGATGACTTGCATTCTGGGACAATGAATGAAGGTTAAGGGGTTTAAAAGCCAACAGGAATATCTATGCAGAATCTGTAGGGATCAAAGAAGTGCTAGGCTGTTCCTTTTTTATGTGTGACTACGACACATAAAATCGTAATGACAGAATTGAAGAATGGTACTAAATCATTCTGTAATGCCTGATAACTGAAACTTAAGAAATGTTTAGGTTAGAATAGATTCAGTACAACTTAGCATGTACCAACAGAGCAGGCAAATATAATTATCTGGTTCTACTAGCCTTGTTGATAAGCAGACAACAGGGAAAGGAGGAAAACAAAACCCTGAGAACAGTGACTGGAGCCAGGAGATCCTCAGGCATGGGAGACAGTCCTCTGGTCTGCCGGAGAAGTTGGTCACAGAGATGGGAAAATGCATGTTTTCTTTGAGCCACACTAAAGAAAAACAATCTTGTAGGGAAGGGTTATAATTTAGGGACTGCTTTTGTGTGTGAGTATGTGTGTGTGTGTGTTCATGTGTGCTAGAAGTTGGCAACTCATGCTATTGAATTTTTTTCTTTTCAATAATGATGCAGTGAAAAAAGAATTTGGCTCTTTAAAAACCTGTCTTAGAGCCAAATTTACTAAAATGTTCCTAATCCATAAAGCATAAAAGCATACGAATTAGAGATCGGTATTAACCCACTTAGGGAGCCACATCTGGTAAGCATAGTTATCAATAGACCACTGTTAATCTGGGGAAATGATAATGTTCTTTTAGAATTTGTTCTGGCCCCAGTGTCCTGATATTGTACATAATTTGCAACTTGTGATTTATGTCCTTGTCTATAAAACAGTGAGATTAATATCTGCCACACAGGGCTATTTAGAAAACTGATAACATATCTGCAAGGACCCAGCATAATATCTGGCGGGCGCCAGTTTTCACCTTCTGTATCTAGTCCTGGATTATACAAATTAAAAGCCTTTGGCCATATCCTTAGTGAAGATAAGGAAACCCATGGAGAGGAGAGTGTTAAACTGTTAAAAATCAAAGTTTAGAGAAAAATTGAGAGGTAACTTTTGGTGAGGGGAAAGGATAAGACTCTGTGATTTCATGCTCCTTGACTGAAGTCAACATTTCCTCCTCTGGCTCAGCTTCTTAGTCTGTAAAATTAGGATAGTCCCTACCTCTTCATGTGTTCATATTGCTTCATTCAGAAATGTTAGCTATTATTACTAACAATAACCAAAAGTTATTTCTTCTGCAGAAGACTGAAACGTCTTTTAATAATTGCTTTTGAGAGTATAAAAACTCACATTTAAAATGGTGAACAGGCCCAGCTGGGCAAGGCTCAGTGGCTGGGCATCAACCTATGATCCAGGAGATCGAAGTTTGATTCCCAGTCAGGGCACATGCCTGGGTTGCGGGCTCGATCCCCAATAGGGGGTGTGCAGGAGGCAGCTGATCAATGACTGTTATCTCATTGGTATTTCTATCTCTCTCCCTCCCTTCCTCTCTCTGAAATCAATAAAGATATATTAAAAAAAATGGTGACCACTTCATTTAAATCATCATGGAGTAAGAAGAAAGATGAGTCTTGAATTGTAACATGAAGAATTTCACTTTCAGATAGTAATTGTAAGAATGTAGAATAGGTTTTCAAGGGAAATTAAAACTTTTCTGTCTTTGGAAGTCTGCAAAAATATGAAACATACTCTTCTGGTGTGACTTGGCTGTTGTTTCTCACTTATGACTCTCACAGACAAAAACTGCTAAATTCTGCATATTCTTTGCCAGACAAACCAAGTTAAGAATCTTGTATAAGTGTTGTTATTTTTCTAAATAATGGAGCTTTTAAAAAAAATTTAAATTGATTTAGGAGAGAGAGAGCAACATCAATGTGAGAGAGAAGCATCAACTGGTTGCCTCTCATATGCGCCCCAACCGGGGACCGAACCTACAACCTGGGCATGTGCACTGGACAGCGCTCAGTCAAATGAACCACACACACTAGGGTTCTGGTGTAAGTTTTTAAGAAAATTCTAATCATTCACTCTGAATGCTGAAAGTTTCTTAATTAGGACAATAGAAATTTTATCTGGGCAGCTGAAGGGTAAAGCTATGGAACTTACAAAATGACAAGTTAAGTACCACATACCTTCAGTCTACACACACCTAATCACATTGTCACTTCTCCACTGAGAGTCTATACTGAAAGGTGACTATAAATCAAAGTGGGGCTACAAAATAATGATGCAATTTGCCTATGAAAATTAGCCTCACTGGTTTATAATTATTTTTTAATTTATTGACTTACTCATCCAATAGTTATTACTTGGAACTAAAGGAAAGGTGCTTGAGGAAGAATAAGAAATAGTCCCTCATCCTAAATAAGTTTTATATTTAAGTGGGATTGATAGGAAAGCAAACCAAAACCTGTAATTCACATCACACATTAAGTTACATGATGATTCTGCCCTCAGACACTGCTAGCTATGGGCAGCTGGAGCAAGTCTTACCTTTTGAAGGAGGAACGTCTTTTCCAGTGTAAGGGTGTAGCTTTACTCTCTTCTTCCCTCTCTTTGATTCAAATATGTCATCTATTCTCAATACAAACTGAAAAAGATCAGAAAAGTACAAGTCAACACCAACAAGTTCGTAGCCTAATGGTATTAATTTGAGATTCTCATTCAGAAAAAGATCCAATTTATAAATAAAAACATTTACATTTCTCAATTTTGAATCTAAAATGATCTTTAATAAGACAATATGTTGTTCTAAGTCCACATTAGTCGGTAAAAGGAGGAGGAACCTTTCCAGAGGAACCAGCACAGGCTCCTAGGGAGAGTCTTTGTCATTCCATGTCGTGACATGCAGGAAATCTGGCTACTGCACTCAATAGGGTGACCAAGCTTTACTACCAGACTCAAGCTTTTGCTCGCCCACGGTAGGAAGTGGAATACTTATTCACTTGGAAGGCAGGGTGGGGCTCAGTTATGTTTGCTCCCAGGAATTTTTAGCAAAGAGAGGATAATCAGCTTGGAAAGTTTGTGTCAAAGGGAATACTCTTTGCTACCAGGAGCACTAGTATTACAATTTATTTTAGAAACATGTCATAAAATTAGGAGACTTTCAAATATGCTCAAGGTGTGTGTGAAAGAGACAGAAACACACACACACACACACATACACACACAGACTGGGCTTAAAAAAGAGGAAAGAATTAAAGTTGATCAACCACTACCTTTAAAAGGAAGAACTGATTAGTTTTCCCATGTATGTTTTTCTTTTTCTTAAAATCTCAAGCTTTTTCTTAACCATGAATCCTGATTTAATATATTTCATGTTCAAAATTACAACCATCAGGAACATTAGGTAAGATGATAACCAGAGTTGCTGGAGACAAACGCTCTCATTCTCTCTTTTGTCTTAGTCTCTCCAGCAATCCTGGCAACCCACAGGCAGTGAACCAGTCCAATGCAAAAAAAACAACATGTGAGAGACATGTGCTTCCAGTATGCAAATTATTCCCACATTTTTGGATGAGCTTGTTCTTTTAAAGATTTTTGTAGCTGCCATGCAAGTGAAAAATTACCAATGTTCTTAAATATCAGTATTATATATTAAAAAACCACACAAATAAGAATCCAAAGTAAAAAGGTATCGTTAGGGGCGACAGGAAAGATATATGAGAGTGAACATATATTTTTGGTTGCAAATAAACAAAACTAGTATAAATAGTACTGTGCATTTGAAAAGTATTCTCCAAAGTATACTCAACTATTATAAAGGAAAGGGAACAATCTGTTCTAGAAAGATGAGATAAAGCAATGCAATTTAAATTTTGGTTATGAGCTAGGAAGAGGAGCCTACTTTTATCTTCTAATTGTAGGAAATACTGTAGAACAGCCTTCCTAAGAAATAATAGAAACCACACTGCTGTACACACGTGACACAAACAATATAAAACATTAGGAAATCTACTCTAGCAAACACGGGCTTCCACAGCAGGGAAAGAAAGGAAGGGTGGGGAAAAAGCATATGGACTAGATCAGTGATTTTCAAACTATGAAACCAGTTTCTCTTCCAGGGACAGCTCTAGTCATCAAAGGGGAAATAAACGAAAACGGTTTTCTTGTGGAATGTTGTTCCTAAAGATACTCCAAAGCCAAGTTTGTATTGTGAATGGAACATCCTAAAAGGACTTACTGCCAGCAGGGTCACAGGTAGAAATGCTAAGTCTGTTCTTGCCTGACAATCAAGAGTTCATCTTCCTCCTCCCCCTCCCCCACAATTCTCAAAAAAACATCATCATCCAAACTTTTGGGGAATATCAGAAAAGGAAAAGTTGGAACCTATCAGCTACAATCAAGAGACCAAGAGAGCAAGCTTCAAGCACTTGGGAGCCACAGGACAGAAAACAGAGGCATGAAGACTAAAGCACTGCAAATCTCCTCGGGTCTCCTTAAACTCCACAATCCATAATTCCCAAGTATTTGTTCATGCCATTCCAAGAACCACATCTTAAATGCAGTCTCTATTGTGCTTGTGTTCTGCCCCCTGGGAACACATGAGGAGTTATTTCTGGGCCATGTGGGAAGCTGCTTCGTTGTGCCAGCATGACCTATCAAAGGGGAGAAAGACCGCTGAAGGCCTGGTGATTTGTTAAATTGCTGATTTTTAACCCTTCCTCACCACCCACCAGAGAATAAACAGCTAATGATTCCTCCCCACTCCCGCCACTGACAGAGACCAGTTTAGTGCTTTTTAGAAACTATCTTCAACTTTTCACATATTAAAGAGGGAGGGGCAGGAAACAGATCAGAAGAATTAAAGTAATTATGGAACAAAGTATTTCCCAAGGAGCCAATCAGTTACTAAACCAAGAAACAGCTGTGACTTCTGTCTAATGCTAAAATCAGGTATAAAAACTGTGCTAAATGAGTGGGATTAAGGAATGCTATTTAAATGATCTTTTTCTTTTTTTTTAATTTTATTATTGTTTAAAATATTACAGATGTCCCTTTTTCTCCCCAATGACCCGTTCCACCCCGTTCCTTCCCCCTCCCCAGTCCCTCTCCCCACCATTGTCCATGTCATTGGATTGTGTATATATGTACGTAAATTCTTTGGTTACTCTCTTCCCCTCCACCCACCTACTCTCCTCCATCCCTCTGACATTCATCAGTCTCATCTATGCTTCCATGTCATTGAATCTATTCTGTTCATCTGATCTGACTTTTTCATTTCTTAACAGTAATCCTAAAAACATTCAGAATTACAGAAAAACAAAGTAACATAGTTGTAAAATATTTTCATGTAATTTCTTAAGTATCTCTCCTAAAATAATCCCAATTTCTTGATTTTGGTACCAGTGGCTCTAGGGATAACTGCAGACTTACTGCCTTTTCTCCCTTAAGAAAGAAGTAATTTATTTAACATAATTGCTGAAAATTTCTATTCCCAAGTAACAGACAAGTTTCTCTTTTCTTTCCTCTGAATGGAAATATTTGTCCCAAATTTAATGGCATATACTTTGTAATTACTGAAAAATCTGTAAACTCACGCACAGAGCTGAGTTCACTTTGGCAATTATATAAATGAGCAAGAACAATGAATCCAGCTGAATAAAATGTTCTTGTGTACGACATTCTAGTGCTTCCCTAGAACAGGCAGTTGACTGTAATGAGAACTAAGGTAGCCAAAGTGAAGCCCTCCACCTAAAGTCAATTTTCCAAATCCATCAAGAAACCTTGGCAGAAGCCATGCATTTTTCTGCATGAGCAAAAATCTAAAACTCAAGGCTACTTCCATAATCTTCTAATTCTAGTAGGTCAATTCTAACGTATTATTCACACCTGTATAAAGTTTATTTATTCTCATTATAAAAAATAATTTATATGAGAATAAATGCTTAAATAGGAGTCAAAGAAAGAAAGTCCTGGAGTCCTTACCCTTGGAACATTTTTTCTTTTCCTGGTTGCAATTTCTCCAGCTCGGAAAAGCTTCCATTCGGTTAAAGTAACAGGCAAAGTGGTATCCTTGGTGAGCTTTGACCTTAAATAAGCTTGTGAGTTCTTCAGTTCCATAGTCTTTCGGTGAAGGAACTGAGGTTTGGGAGGAAGCTAAAACAGGAGGGTAAGATCATCTAGTTAACACCTGTGTTCTCAAGGTCAAAGCTACCCCAGAAAAATATTTATCTTTCCTTTAAAATCATCTCATGTGAGGACACCGTAATTTCTTTTTCATCATTTGTATAGAATTTTCTAATCCAAAGTTCTTCAACTACAGTGTAATCAAATGTCCAGAAAACCATGGCTCAGAGACCTCATTAACTCAAGGTAGCCTTTGCTTCCAGGAGTGGTGAAGGTTTTCAGGGACCAGACAGGTTTAGGCCACAGGTTGATGTAACTAATAGGGAGCCTGTGGTAACTAACTATAGTGAACCGCAAAGTTCATGGCCTGTCTAAAGGTGTTCATTGTCAATTTTTTTTGAAGAGCTAATAAACAAACAAACCACCCCTACAACCAAAGAAAACAAAAAGCTGTGTGCTACCCCCCAAAACAAAACAAAGAACAAAAACCCACCACTAGCCTGGCCAACATGGCTCAGTGGTTGAGCATCAAGGTATGAACCAGGAGGTCATGGTTTGATTCCTGGTCAGGGCACATGCCCAGGTTTCAGGCTCGATCCCCAGTAGGGGGCGTGCAGGAGGCAGCCGATCAATGACTCTCTCTCATCACTGATGTTTCTATCTCCCCACTTCCTCTCTCTGAAATCAATAAAAACATAATTAAAACAAACAAAAACCCCACCACTAACAATAAAATCCATTTTAGCACCTCTTAGTTTTGGCCCCCGTTAAACCATTTTAACATCTTTATAGGGATTATAAACAAGGTTTAATGTTTAAGGTTAATTCTCTGGTTATACCTTGGGTGCTTTGAAGGCACTTTTAGGGGGTGGAAGCTTCCAAGCTGAAGGGGATCTCCACATGGGAAAGGACTGCAATGGGATATCTTCATATGGATTTTCTTTGGTGGGATCTTGAAAAATGACAAAAAAATAAGTTTATAGGAACATAACTAAATGAAAACAAAGTGACTACAGCTGGGAAAAGAAAGAAAAAACTGGTTATGTTCAGCTTTCTATTCCACATTGCTGAAAGGAGGGAGGTCTCAAAATCAATGGCACTTTAAGCTTGTAAACTACTCAGGCATCCAACCAAGCTAAAAAAAATTCTCAAAATACGGTACTACAAATAATTACTTCTGAACTGAGCAGTCCACTAAACTAGTTGTACAATCCATTAAAGAGTAAAAGAATTTATACAACAAAGGTTTCCATATTAAAAAGAAAAATCTAGAGCAAGACATGCTTGATTGTAAAAGAAAATACCATCCTCAAGTTAAGGGCTCCACCAAATACATACTCATTCAGTTTAATTGCAAAGTTTGAGGACACGTACATAGGACATCTTCATAGATATTGTCCTCAGACTGTGTGTAATAAAGTGCTGAGCCAGAATCTCTCCCAAGTTCTTCATGTGTCTTCTGTGTGTTCCGATTTCGAAAGTGCTGAATATCTTCAAATTCAAAGGATTTCCTTAAGAAAGGAGATATATGTTCAAGTTGTATCTTTTAAAACTCTAGTCTTCTTTAAATTGGTATGAGAGACAAAAATCGATAAGTAAAAGACCTGTGTACGTAACTACAGAGGTGTTTTATCAGATACTTAAGAATAAACTAGGCCAATGCAACAGGATTTTTCTTAAGAAGACTCTCCTGATGATAGTTATTTATCTCACTCCAAAGACCTTTCAATGCCACTTATCTGGATTAGATGTACCATTAGTCAGTCCTTCCCACTGGGAAATTTTTTGTTTGATGTTTTTGCACCATGAGAAAACTGGAGGCTTTTCCCCAATTTTAATTCATGTTCTTCACTGGGTACCTTTCTTTCTTTTTTTAAAAAATATGTCTTTCAGAGAGAGGAAGGGAAAGGGAGAGATAGAGGTAGAAACATCAATGATGAGAGAGTCATTGATCGGCTGCCTGCTGCACGCCCTCCACTGGGGATCAAGCCTGCAACCCCGGCACGTGCCCTGAACGGGAATCTAATTGAGATCTCCTGGATCCTAGGTCAATGCTCAACCACTGAGCCATGCTAGTTGGATGGGTACCTTTCTTAAATTCATTCTCTAGTGAAAAGGGAGGTTAAGGCCAGCATGCTCTAAATGATGTAGAAGAGTGTACTTGCTTCCACACACATGTTTAAAGATAGCAAGTTTTTCTGATGCTCTTATGTCAGTATATTGCATTAGATATTAGACATGCTTCTATACTATGCCCTCTTGTATGTATTTTTCCCTAGGGTTAATCAACATCTGAATAATCAAATTAGGGGAATGAAAACTGGTTTGAGAAGAAAAAAGAAGCTCCAGAGTTCAGTAAGGAAAATACTTACAAATCTTACCTATTGAATAAAAACATACCTTTTAGATCTCCCTCGGATTTTCCCACCATATTTCTTTGGTTCAGGTTCCTGAGAAGAGGCCAAACAAGACTCTGCACAAGAATTATTTTCACAGTATTTTCTGTCACAGTTTCTTTCTTTACACAGCATGCCACCAGATTCAGACAAATACCTGAATGTCCTACGAGGTTTGGGCAAAGGATTTATAGAAGGTCCGCATTCTTGACCCTCTGGTTCAGAGTAGATATTTTCTAAGCTCTTGGTTACTCCATAGGAACTGTCCAGAACTCTGAAATTCAGTTCCTTTTCTGAAGAGAGACAACGTTCTAGGGCCAAATTGAAGACTTTATCTGGGGGAAGTGCCTCGATTTTCTTCCACAGTATTTGTGAGGTATAGAAATTTCCTGGAGGTAATGAAGTCTCTGGATCCAAAACAACTTCTTTCCAGCTTTCAATCTGTTTGACCCGAGAACATACCCAGCTGGATTCTGGCTCATTTCTAAAGAAGTGAGTATCGTCATGTTCACGCCTCTCTCTCTCATCCCCACTGTGATCGCAGCTTTTGGCATCCTCATGAATATCTAGGCTGACATTCTGAGAGTTGGTTACATCCAACTTTTTGCTCTTTCCCTCAGCAACAGGATTCTTCGTAAGAAGACTCTCCTGATGACAGTTCTTGTATCTCACCCCGCAGTCCTTTCGGTGCCACCTATCTGGATTAGGAGCACCAGTAGTCCGTCCTTCCCACTGGGAAATTTTTTGTTTGATGTTTTTGCAGTGGCTTCTTGACAGTGTCTGAAGAGCGGAACGAGAAAAACCAACATCCATGTTCCCAGCTGGGCACGTACCTAAGCGGTGAATTTTACTCAGGCTCCATTACACCGAACCGCGAAATACTGTGTTCTTTATCCTGTCAGTCAGAATCCAAAAAATTCCAGCGTTTTCCTTTCATCTTTAACTTGGAAATTTCTTTGTAAAAAAATTTTGAGCACTGCTCCGTATTGAAAATGGCTGCAACTTTATTTTGAAGAATCCTAGTAAAATAAGACAAGAATATGTTAACAGTTTTATAATTTTCTAATTTAAACTTCACTAAAACACTCCCCACCTATCTCTAAGTAATTCATTCACATTGAATCTGTAAAAATGTGCCTGTAGTCCATTAAGTAATTCAACTCCATAAAGGCACTCCTAAAATATTCCACGTAGTATTTCTCAAATTGTCAGCTTTAATATTCTGCGATATTTAATTTCCTAAAGTTCAGCAGAATGAGGTTTTTTAAAGAGATTATATGTAGTAGTACATATTATTTTATAATAAATCAATTCTTTACAAAGCCTTCTCTTAATGAAACAAAGACCTACAGAGTATTATAAAAAGTATGTACATACAGAAATACATCTCAAATAACCAAAGGTTCATGTACATATCCAAAGGAAGAATCAGCTAGTCTAGAAACACACCAATAGCTAATTTCCTCCTCCTGCCCATTTTGAGAGGTAATATTAGCCCATCACATACCCTTATTTCAGTGTTGTTATTAGCAGCACAGGATCCCATGCACACAGTGCTAAAGACAATCCAAGGTGCCATTAACTATCTCTTGCTTTAAAATGTAATAACCTGTTATGTCACTGACTGAAATTTCTACATCTCTGCCACCACGCCCTTGACCCAAATCAGCAAAAATACTTACAATCATTGTCACATTCCTTCCTTTCACATAGAGGCTTCACTCATAGAGGCCCATAAACTGTTTCCTCAAATACAAAATTTGGCAGAGAACTTTTCCTATCAACTGAGTAAAGACCTGATCTCAAGTTCTACTGTATTTGGTTATAAATAGAAACTGATCCAAAACTTCCTGAGGCAGGGGTCATCCTTCCTTGAGCTTTGTCTGTGTGGCCTTGATTAACAGGCAGGAAAATATCTTGGCCCAGCTCTGTCAGTGTGGCTGACCCAAACTGATACATACATACACAACGCACACACAAAACGTGCAGAGCAGGGCGTGCATCAGCTTTCATTTCAACTGTTCCCACAGGTTTGTAGGAAAACCAGCTTTGCCAGCAGATAAACGATGAGGGTCTGATGCAAAGAAAATTATTTTAAAACGTCTTAAAACAAACTCACGTGGGTGTAAAAAACAAAACAAACCCCCCCAAATATCAAAGTTGTTGTGCAGAACTCTTGAGAAAAGATTAGTGCATAGCATTTGAAGATCCACTCAGCAATTGTTCATTATTAAAACTCTGAAAATCCTTTTCTTGCCTCTGATGTTTACAGAGGATTCCTAAGGATCTTAGGGTGTCCCTGGGACTCAGGTTTTCCTTCACTATCGACAAGATGGGAGTATTTTTCTCTCTCCTGGGAGCCTAGTAGAGGTTTTTGGCAGTCCTTGTTAACTCTTTCTTTACTCTTCTCTCGGTAATGTGTTTTAAATATGAATTGGTCAAACTGAGAAGAAAGAGATGAAACTTGCTAGAGCTAAAAAAGTTTTAACTTGAAAATTACTGGCAACAAATTGCTTAATCTATGGAATTCATGCACAAATATAAATCATGTGTACTGATAGTGTTTCAGAGCCACAACCACTAGCTCTCTTAATCGTTTCCCATGAGAGGAAAAATGTCAACAGGATTTAATTTCTAGAATCTGAATGCTTTAAAGGAAAATTTAAGGGAAAACACTGCCAGTATCCAATTTAAAAACAAATGATGGCCTTTGTTGAAGTTAGTGCCTCTCAGAGCAGGTGCTACTGGCCTTCTGTATCCTTTTAACAATCAATGAGATAAACCATAGAAATGGGTATGTTATAAAATGGAGGTAGAGAGCACAATATTTAATATATAAGAAAAGCATCATGGTATATGGTACAAAAAGTAAAGGCTTTGGAGCCAGATACCTGGATTTAAATTCCAGGCAACTTACTTGGTGGTGGCCTTGTACTTAATCAATCCGAGCCTTAATCTACAACAAGCAGATAAAACTCACAGTAGAGTTATTGGAAAGATCAAATGAAATAATATATAAAGTGCCTTGTACAAAGTAAGTGCCTGATAATGACTATACTGCAACTGTCGTAACTCAATTTATATGTATGGGTGTCGGTACATATCTTCATCAGTCTAACCATCTGAATGTCTCTCTTCATTTCTATCCCTATTACAACCACCTTAATTTATGCTCTTATCATTCTTCTTATAGGTCTTCCATAATACAACCTCCTCTGTGGCCTACTTGTCTCCAAAATCAACCCCCTTCCAAAACTGTTGCCAGAATGTTATTTCTAAAACTTAGGTATGAACAAGTTGCAAACCAGGTAAAACCTTTTAGTGGTGCTCCATAATCTTCTAAGGTGGTTATCAAAACATATTCCCAAAGAAACAATGCACTTTCAAAAACTGAACCAAGCCTGGCCTGTGTGGCACAGTGGCTGAGTGTCAACCCATGAATGTGGAGGTCACGGTTAGATTCCCGGTCAGGGCACATGCCCGGGTAGCAGGCTCGATCCCCAGCAGGAGGCAGCCGATCAATGACTCTCTTATCATTGATGTTTCTATCTCTCTCTCTCTTCCTCTTTCTGAAATCAGTAAACACATATTTAAAATTAAAAAACAAAACAAAACTGGACCAAGTCCTGGCCGGTTTTGCTCAGTGTTAGAGCCAGGTGGCCTGCGGACTGCAGGGTCCCGAGTTCCATCCCAGTCAAGGGCACGTACCTTGTTTACAGGCTCCACCCCGGACCTGGTCGGGGTGCATGTGGGAGGCAACCCATCGATGTGTCCCTTTCCCATCAATGTTTCTCTCTCCCCCCCCGCCCCGAAAAGCAATGGAAAAAATATCCTTGGGTGAGGATTAAAAAACAAAACAAAAACCAAAAAACCTGAAGCAAGTTTCTGCTATCAAAACTGAATAATGCCAAACAAGTTTGCATAAGTAGGTTACCTTAGCAGACAGAATTTCCTCAATATTAAGTCCCCCCCCCACAAATATATCTTAAACCTTTGACCCTTGCTACTATTTGTGGTGCCTGTCAATACTGACAAAATAACAAAACAAATAAATATATGGCCAACAAATATTAATGAAAAAAACTGGGATAAGCCACCTGAAGAAATTTGAAGCTTTTAAAAAAATCCTATAGGTACACACTCATCTGTGTTTTTATAGTGCATACACAAAATACGATCATAATTTTGCTACTAAAAGCGTTTCTGGTATAAGTGATAAAATTAGAAGTGTAAGTATTGCACGGTGCACCAGCAACAGGATCAGGTCCACGCTCCCTGGCATGACATTTAAGGTCGTTCACCCTGAGCCCAGCTTGGGCTCCTGCAGCTTGTCTTGCTCACATGCTACATTCCAACACTGAATAATTTGCATCAGCTAGCAGTTTAAAGCTAGATTAGAGTTACACGGAGTTCAAATACCACCAGACTTGTTTCTTGGCTGTGTAACCTTAGTCAAATTACTTAATCCTTCTTAGCCCGCCTCCCTTATCTGTAGAAGGATCCTTATCTGTAGAACCAGCATTTGCTGGAAGACTCCCTGGCTCCCATCTCCGGCTCCCAGCTCTCTGAGACTTGAGTTGGGTGCAGACGCTCTAAAGGAATGAGGTGCTCTGTCCCAGTCTGCCCCCAAAGGCCGTCATCTGCAGACCAGAGATCTTGAAATCAGCCGTGTAAATCCATCACCATTTTAAATATCCCAAATAGCATTCTTACCACTACATGCCAAGATTCTAATTAATCGTGACCATTACGGCTCCTCCCCCAGGGTTTCTCTGGATGTGCACCCCGTCTGTATACTTTTTCCATGATCTCAAGAATCTTAATATTCTGGAGTCATCCTTGCTAGGTATACTTAGAAAAAGAAGACACTCAGGGATGGAAATGAAAAGAGGAGTGGCATGGAGAGCCAAGAGGAGTAAATGCTGTCTTGAAATACCTAAAATAAACCTAAGTTTTGGGATGTCACTCCCGTACTTGTTATAGAAGAGGACACTAAGACGTGTCAGAGGAAAACTGAAAATAATAGAATCTGCTCAGGAAGATGAGTAGAAATTTGAGCGGCTCATATTATTTGCTTTTTTGAATTTTCTATTAAGTATATTTAATTAAAATATTATTATAGTATGTCATTTGTAAAGCCTCTGGATAAAACTTTTAATAAAACCCAAAGGAATAAATCTTGAATAAAATTCTTCATTGAATTTAGCTAAAAATATTTTAAAACAAATGATGAATGAAGCAAAAGAGAAAAAAACAAGTGTCAAACTAGCTTCTAGCTTTTAAACTTCTATCATCTTGTTGGCTGTTCCTGACTGTCCCTTGAGTAACAAGTTTTCAGAGCAAGCACACACAGGATACCAGTCTTTCATCTCACTCCTATCAGAGGAAACAGCCTCACAGGTAACTAAAAATGACTCCCAAAATAGCAAAGAAACTTTAAAAAAACACTAATATTACTAATAGTAGACAATAAAAATTCCTCAAGCAGTTATTGTGTCTAATTGCAAAGCAAGAAATACGATTCTTCCCCCCAAAAATTGAATTCTTTAACAGCTCTACAACTCTGTTGAGGTATGTCATGGGAATTTTTGGAGGTTTTTTTCTAATCAAAGCATGAAAAATGACAGTTGATTTAACACAGATTATATTCAGAACTTCAAAGACTGTGAATAATGCTAACTTTATGATTGTGTTACATGGCTGGCTGTCCACATTATTTATAAAAACTTCCGAATGACTACACTTGTTCTTTGCTGTTCACTGATTCCAGGGGTACCCCTGGACATTTTGTTTGCCACAGCTGTGTGCCCTACGAGCTATTCTCACAACTACCCAAACAGTGTTTGACACTGAATTTTTTATTCCCCCCAAAATCGTATGCTGAAGCCCTGGTCCCAATGTGATGGTATTTGGGATGGGGCTCTGGAGGTAATTAGGTCACGGATGGAGCGAGCCCTCTTGAATGGAATCAGTGCCCTTATAAAAAAAGACAAGATAGAGATCATCTTTTTTTCCGTTA